AGAATGGCTCCATATTTTGGGTTAATTCACTCAAAACCCATGTTGTTTTAAGAAAATACATACTGAAAAACTACTTTTAACTGAACCTTACAGAAAGTCCCGGAAATTTTTGTAGCTAATTCGGGATTTTTGCCTTACAAGGGTATGGAGGGCTGACATGCTTTCACAATTCAGCCAATCAGAGCGCGGCTAAATTCGTCGCCTATGTTATACCGTTTGCGGAAAAAAATTTCGCAGCCGCACTGTAGATTTCAGCACGCCGATTGGGCTGATGAATTGTACAATCGGCCGGCTCATCGCATCCGGGCACACTAGCGCACTTGCAGCCGGCCGCTCAAATAATATCAAACATGAATTGATATGCGCCCGGCTGAGCGTCCCGACTCAAAATCGAACCGCCAACTGCGTGACTGATTTGCTTTGACTGAAGAAAACCTTCAAAACAAGAGAACAAACGCGATTTGTAAATGTTTGTTTTGGTTTATGACCGCTAGATATAGTTTTCTGTAAGTTTTCTGATGTATTTTCTATGAAAAACACATATTAATATGACATATAATATTACTATAACTGCAATTCTTTGTGCAAATGTGTTATTTTCATCTCAACAGTCTGGGCTCTGGTAATACTACATAGTTGCGTACGTATGTACACGCACTCATACAATAGCCTTTCGCTTCGTCGCAGGAGGAAGGAGCGAAGGGCTAGATAGGTACTAGAGCTATATAGTACTATATAGTACTATATAGTACTATATAGTACTATGCCTCTAGTACTATAGCCCTTCGCTCCCTCCTCCTGCGACGAAGCGAAGGGCTATTGTACGAGTGCGTGTACATACGTACGTAACTATGTAGTATGATGAGAGCCCAGACTTAAGATTGAGATGAAAATAACACATTTGCACAAAGAATTGCAGTTATAGTGATATTATATGTTATATTAATGAGTAAAATATGTGTTTTTTATGAAAAATACATCAGAAAACTTACTTATCTAGTGGTCATATACCAAAACAAACATTTACAAATGGCGTTTGTTCTCTTGTTTTGAAGGTTTTCTTCAGTCAAAGCAAATCAGTCAAGAAACGGCAGAATATATTTGGGTTAATTCACTCAAACCCATGTTGTTTTAAAGAAAACATACTGAAAAACTACTTTAACCTAACTTACAGAAAGTTCGGGAAAGTTTTTGGTAGTTAATTCGGGATTTTGGCTACAAGTCATGGAGGCTGACATCTTGCCAAATTCCAGCCAATCAGAAGGCGCTAAATTCTTCCCTATGTTATACCGTTTGGGGGAAAAAAATTTTGCCGCCCGGGCTCAGTCGCGTAGTGCGTCGCGGAGCTCCAGACTCAGCCGGCCGGCTCGACCGCACGAAAAATCGGCTAGTGTGTCCACCCTTTAATCGATGCTTGTTATACTTGTACTTACTTGGAAATGTTTAATCATCATAGATGTGTGTTTGTAGACACAGATCTGAACATCACTTTCCTCGTCTCTGTGGGTATATGAGTGTTTGCATTTTACTTGTAAACTGCTCCATTTATCTACAACAGATTAAGATTTAGTTTTGGTTTCTCGTTTTTTTCTGTGGTCGTAGTCGGTGCTATCCATGGTGTAGTAACATCAGCTACAGCAGTAAGTTCAGTACTGCTGGGAATAACCGTTACTGTCTTATTTATCTAGTCAGCTGACACATATGACTTTGGAATCTCCCTTAACATAGTGTTTGGAAAGTTCTCTCGTGTGTCATGTTTGGAATGTTGTTTTTCGGTTTCTCACGGGACACACCGATAAACGGTTTGTACGCATGATACCCATCTCTGGGATTCCACCCTGTTTCATTTTTTCCCCAATTTAACGACGAATCTATCAGACACTAGAAGAAATGACAAGCACGAGAAGCTAACCTGGTCACCTTTAATATTAGGTTAGGGGGCGGGCGTGTTTTGATATTTTTAACTTCTGTGGTTGTGTTCACCGTTGTTTCTGAATGAATTTGAAGTGTAGTATAGTCTCAAGTGTGAAATCTTGATCTTGATGTTAATTATTGTTGTCTTATCAGTTGTTTTTGATTGTGTATTTTTTTACGCTAATATTATTTCATATATATCACTGCATGAAACCTTGTGATAAAGTTTTTCTGAAGAATCCGCGTTATTCGTTGATACTTTAGCGTTATTAAGGTATTTGTTGCAGCGCACAGCCTATATAAAGCGCACATATATTATCGTATGCAGGCGATGTGATGTTAGTCTGTAGATTATTGTGTACAGCATAGCTGTAAATTTATGTGAAATTCGAGCTTAGGAAACTAATTATAAAACTATATGGCAGAAACGTAGCAGGTTGTTGTCTAAACAGATATGGCCAATCAATGATGTTATTACAATCGAATTATTTTTCTAGGTGACCGTGTTTGTTGTTTAGGTTGGAATTTTGAAAGCTTTCATTATTCATTGTGTTTGGTTTTTGACCCTCGTGCAAGCGTTTACATTTGAGTATCATTTATTTTTTTATTTTTTTATCTACAAAACTTCAAGTGGGATTGCTATATGCCGTCAGTATGTGAAACAGGATTGAGATCTGATATGAAAAATACATGTCCGTCATGTTAAAGGTACTTAAAATGGAGCTCGTGCAGAAGGATTACCGGTAAATACAAGAATAATGTAATAGGATAATGTTCCAGGCAGACTGTGCCAACAAAATGTGCAATTTGTTAGTGTTGATGTATTAATGTTGTGATGTGATACAAGCTTGTAATAAACCTTCTAAAACGCAATTCTTACACGCGCACGCACGCACCCACACAACACCGCACGCACGCACGCACATGTACACGCACACGTCACATACGCTAACGCCACCTCTCAGCGAAGTTTGTCAGTTATCACGTTGAAAATAAAACAACAGCAACGGTAGGCCCAGATTTGCATATGCCTCGTTAGCATAAATCCTACGAAACATTCTGTACTTCCACACTAACCACACGTCCCAAGTTTGCCGGTCTCACCGGGATCCTCCCGGTATGACACGCTGCTCCCGGTGCCCCGGAATGAGTCCAGAAGCTCTCGCGTCGTAACATTTTTCAGCCATATGAAAATTACATCAGTAAAATTCTAAATCTGCGTTGTTGTTGATGTACTTTGATTCCAGCGAACAAATAAAAGGCCACAAATGTCAAGCATTATGTGATGCAATGTGTAATATACTCGTATAATAATAAATAAATGTGAACCCATAATTAACATGAATTTGCATTTATTTTACATGATTGTATACTTTATAAAAAATGGTGGTGTGCCGCTACAAACATATCGCAGCCCGCCACAACTTTTCCCCTGTTTTTGCGCACTGCGAAAAAATGGTGATGGACCATTATCACAAGTGCTCTCTCAATTTCTTGGATTGCTGACTCCTTTCTTGGATTTTCCAACTTGGGACCTCTGACACTAACAATAACAATAACAACACGCTCGCGCTCAGCAGTTACGGGTCATATTTTAATATACGTAGGCTCTATGGAAAAGAAGTCCGTTAATTTAGTTATTAAGATGGACAAATAATGAGAAAGTGTGTAGCCTAATGTGTCTGACTACATTTGAATAATGACATAAGTAACGCATTAATTAGTATAGGTAACGCATCCTACAGCAATCACAATGCATGAATTATTACAGCGTGGAAATACTATTACGTTCAACCTATAACTAAACAAAGGAAACATCAGCAAACGATAGGTAGACAATTACATTAACATTCTGTAGATATAGTACAACATTTTGCTACAAATGATATAACATTCTGGCACACGTACGAATACAAAAATATAAAGCTATATAAACGCAAAAGTAGGTATATATATACCTAGATACAATAATGTAACCCAAACACAAGATAGGGCCACGGTCCACCCCCCTATCATGTGTTTGGGTTACATTATTGTATCTAATATATACCTAACAGTAGATTCTTGTGAAATTAGGAAAAGGTTCAGATCGACATATTATTGCGGATATTGCACCATTATAATATTGCACCGTGATTTATAACATTACCTTAAATATATGTGTAACATTACTTTGTAACACAACCATAAAATTCGACTATAACTTTCCATTTAAAAATAATATAACCACTAGAACTAATTATCGCAATTATTATTAACATAATATATTATATATACATAATATATAATATTATTAACATATATTCTGAGGTAAAATATTCGCACGTACAGTTATGATCATAGTAACCACAGGGACCTGAGGCGAAAAAAAAAGAAAAAAAGTTATATATATAAAGAGAAGATATATATATAGGGGCCTATATATATATATATATATATATATATATAACTCTCTTTATATTATAACACTTTTTTTTGCCTCAGGTCCCTGTGATAGTAACATGCCGTGAGAATAGGTATTAGTGCGCAAGAAATAGACATAAGATACCAGATGGTAATAATGTGTGTGTATATATAATGTTATTATGTATTTCTTGTGAAAATTGCGTGTGGGCGGCAATACAATGCCATGGTTCATGTATTGTAATGGGCAAAGTTCGTAAACGGTGTCAAAAAGCGACGCTAGTGCAGCAAGCATCAACAGCAATGAACTGAGAATTTTGTTTTCTATCGGCTTGGCTTATAACGCGACATATAACTATTTTATGAGGAATTTGTATGTGATCGACAAGGCCTATAACTTCATAGATGATTTGCGCAACAAGCAACATAATATGTCGAATTGTAGCAGCATGAATATGACGTAAAATACCCTAACGCGACCTCCAAATTCAATTCAATTCAATCGACAAACAAATCAACAATCAAACAATCAACAATCAACAATCAAATTACATTTAGCAGAAAGGTATAAAGGCCAAGACACACTGCAGCGACAGCCGACCGTAACGACAAACGACTTCAGAAAATTAGAAACTATTGTTTCCTATGAATATTAGCCCGACCAGGCTGTGCGACGGATTGTCTATACGTATTGTATATTTGTAACCCTAGCAATACCGTTTCTTGGAGCAATATGAATATGAGCCATTGCACACACGCGACAACGAACGGCGACAACCTCGATGACAAAAATATTTAGGAACGTTTCTATTGTCCAGTGACACTTTACAAATAGCCAATCGCAGCCGTTTTCATCGGCACGTGACATTACGATTACGTCATAAATAACCCATAATGCTAGCCAAGACGTAGACTGGGCCCCGTTGTCAGAAACAAAATTAGTCTTAACATTAGTCTTAACACTAACATTTTCTCGTAGACCGTCGACAGCACTTGTTTCGTATTGTTACGAGGAAATCTGCTACGATTTTTCATTCAGGTAACTTCGCAGCGTTTCTGACGACGGTCTAAGAGAAAAAGTTAATGTTAAGACTAATGTTAAGACTAATTTTGTTTCTGACAACGGGCCCCTGGTCTCCTGCGCTAAACTCGCGACGCATGTCACAAACAATGGAGCCGCGAACCAGTCTAACCAAAGCGTGCAAGCTGTGGCAAGCTAGACACAGTACGTACAGTACATGATAATTTGCTGCGTATATTTTACTTTATTATCTTATCCATATGCCTAGAGAGTTTTTGCAGCCTGTTATTTAAAAGCAGCAGCACGAGTTTTTGCCGTTTGTTCATGTGATGATGTGTACCACTGTGGCGAGTGCTGGGTGAACTTTGACCTAACGAGTAACGTCGGTCGCTGTCGCTGCAGTGTGTTTACGCCAGTCGCCGGGACTTTTGTCGTTTGTCGTTACGGTCGGTCGCTGTCGCTGCAGTGTGTCTTGGCTTAACATGAACCAAAATAAATAGAAGTGATGGAGGGCGAAATGACATTACAGTCGTCTAGTCAGCCACTCCTATAAATTACACAAATTACTAAATATTAAATAAAATAATAATAGGTGAACTTTTACATTTCAGATTACATAAAAATATATAACTATAAGAAGATTGCTCTTTGCACTAATCTCCCTGATTCCCCCAGCAAAAGGTTTGATCCTGTGTAGTACTCCCCTGCATTACTATCCCGCTGTAATCCCAGCCATCCTCCACCCATTCCCTTCCCTGCACGACTCTCCCTCAATACTATGTAAGGAGCTAATCTTCTAAAGTGGATGCTCGACTCTTCACATGTAAGTTGTAACTTCAAGTTTTATTCACTAGAGTATAATTACCAACATTGAAAGTGATTTTTGTCTATGAAATATTCATTGTAATTCAACATCAAGTCTTGATTTTGTCTTTTTATTTTTTTCAGAATGCATCAGTGTGATGCAGTATCAGAACAGCGATTGAATCTCACATGAGGAGTCTCTAGGGTTACTGGCTGTAGGATGGCAGGGGTGTACAGGCAGGACGGTGGCTGGGCATTAGCAGTGTTGTTCGCTGCTCTACTCACACACGTCATCGTGATGGGGATGACATTCTCATTCGGTATCTACTTCGTCATTTTAAAAGATGATCTCGAGACCTCGCACACAACTACCCTGTGGATCGGAGCTCTAAACACATCCCTCGTGTTCATAGGAGGTATTATGTCTATATCAACAGCAGGTGTAGACTAGAGTCGTACCAGTCAATAATCCATGAAGGTTCATGGTACATGTAATACTGGTTATTACGTTACTTATCCTCTCGTGATCGTATAGTGTCCGCGTATAAGATCGCTACTAAATGACTACTCATAGGTATATACAAATAGCGGAATACTGAGATACGTATCTAGAATATACAGACATCTTTAATAAAACATATAGAATACTACCGTAGACGCCCATATGCCAAGCATCGACGGGTACATAAAGGTACACGCATGACTATAACTTACATATCAAAGGTGCGTTGAACGCGCTGGAGCAACAGTAAAATGAGACACGTCTGGGGTTCGATTGCAAATAGTAGAGTCTCGTATTTTCAAGATACAAGCGTTAAATACCCGCGTCGTGTCTATTGTCTTAGCCCCGAGTCACGCGGGTCACCTCGACCGCTACCGTTGGCTGAGCCAACTTCTATTGAGCGGTGGTCACGCGGCCTGGGTAGCTCTCTCATTGGATGACATGTACGGGGTCAGCTGTGCGTCGGTTATTAGTGGTTACACAAAGGCTTGCCAGTACGCTGACTAAATTCAGTTATTATGCAATTATCCTATTTCTGTATTATATTACTATTTCTGTATTACACACAGAGTAATTGGTATGCATGAATTAATTCATGAGATGTTAAAATTCACTCATGTGATGTACAAATCGACTCTTAAACACACATCTAGTGTTTAGGTTGACTTGAGGTTTGATTGCAATTGATTGAGATTAGAGGCTTAGTTAAAACTGATGTTGGTAATATCCTGTTCTTTCTTTAGCTCATCTGACGTAGTCAGATGCTGCTTGTAGAATCACATTATTGTCCGTCCGGCCATCCGTCCGTCCGTGCGTCAACAGTTGGGCACAAATCTTAACCGCTCACTGTACGGTCACAATATTCGGGACGTCGGGGAGATCGTGAAAAGGACTCGGGATGACAAATTTGGGGGTCAAGGGTCAAAGGTCAATACGTGTAAACGGAGGTGGAATCTTAACTTAAGGTATAGGAGGAAATACGGAATACAAATCTTAACGGCTAGACCTATGCTCTTAATATTCGGTGTATAGTGTGATGGGCAGGAAACCTATCACCAGTGCGAAATTGGA